AGTCGGAGGAAATCAAAATAAATTTTAATAAATACAATGATCTTGAGATACTTATTTTCATCTAATTTATGTAAAATTATCAACTATCTGTGACGAAGTATTGTGATATATCTTAAAATATGTTTACACTATCACATACATGTTTTATTCTAAATTTTCTGAAATACCATACTCATCGTTCTGCGTGTGGAAGGCTATTAGTTGCACAAGATATTTAATCAAATATATTCAATCGTCAAGTAGAATTTCTAATTTTAAGCATTTAAAAGTCATTTGTTATTTTAACACTGTATAAATGATTACAGAAAACATCGTTGAATTAAAAAAAGGAATAAAATTTGCCTGGACGGATATTCAAAATGGAACTTCAAATAAGGTAGTGGATAGTGTATATTTAATAGATTAATAGAATTAATTAAAAAAGAGAGAAATTCGTTAAATATTGAACGAAAACATAACAAAATTGACACTGGGTTTATATTTTTTCACAGAATATAATTTCACAGAACAAGATATAATTTCAGGAGAAAATTTAATTTTTTGCAGACTTCAAAAGAATACAATTTTTGTTTGTAATATCTTCCGTTTTGTCTTTCATTATAAGATGTTATTATATAACCGATTTTGTCAATTTTTCTTTGAATATCATGAAAAATCAAAAAGTGGCGTTGAATTTATAATTATTCACACCACTGCCACCAATGCCAAAACACGAGAACAGAAAGAGGCTATTGAATTACATTTAAAAATAGATTATAAGTCAATAAAGATTCAATTACATAAATTAATTACAAAGAAGGTTTGAAAACATGATAAATCTTTATGAAGGAAAACAATATTTTTATTGAAATTGTTTGCAAATAAGCATGCATTAATACAGTGTATTGATACAATCCCAATTGACTATAATTTATTGTACTTCGGTTTATTATCATTAGAATGCAAATTTTTATACATTTATAGGGAAAAAGGCAAAATGCACAGAATACACATAGTATGCGAAAATATATAAAATATTCGAAATATAGTATTCGTTCTAAGATTTGACGAGGCGAGCAATTTTCTACTTATTTATTTAAACATTTATTTAAACTCCATGAACAAATCTCGTACGATATATTTCAAAACGTATATCGTACGATATATTTCAAGACGTATGAAACAGTGAAAAATATACCTAAATATTAGAAAAAATGGAGCGATCGGAATTTCGGTCTTCGTGTCTCGAAATTTTCGTTGGTTTGTTCGTACGGGCCTGAGGGTCCCGTATGCTTCGACTGCGCGTAACGAGCAGTTGTCGAGGTTCCCTGAGTTGGGCCAGTGGCAGCAGTTGCTGACTCTCCAGTACAATCACCGAGCGTATCCTTCGCGCGCTGAGTAGCAATAGCAACGCTTTGAAACGTGCACGTGTTTTCTCACTCGTGTGATCAAGAAAACCTCTCAAAATACTCGTTAACATAATTTTCTATCATAATCTCGCGACTGAATGTTAGTCGTATAGTGAATAGTGTATTTATAATCGACGATATCCTATTCGTCCTGGTTAGTTCGTTATCGCGTTGCAAGGCGGCGTCACTTCAAACTGATTATTCGCGCGTTCGTTTCTCGTGATAAATACCGCGATACGAGGATTTAATCGAGTAATATTCAGTTATCGCAATATATTTTCATTTCACGGAAATCGGCATTCTCGCGGAGAAAGTCATACAGAGTAAGCGTTAAAATCACACTCTGACAGTTAAATAGAAAATTGACGCCCAACTGTCCAGCAGTTTGCGTTTCATTGTAATTTCCCATTAGTTCTAAACTATTTTTATTTTTCACTTTATTATTATTCAACTAATTTTTTTTATGTATGGTTAAATTCTTCCCAAATCTCATGTTTAAACTATTTTTCGTTTCATCTTTCACTCTATAACTCCAGTGTCGATTAACTCTAAATTGACTGAACAGTGTATAATGGAGTGTTGATGTGAGTGCAAGTTCAAGGGATACGTACAACGAGGAAAGATTTCACGAGATAACAAGAAATTCTTGAGCGATGGTTCATATGAGCTACGCGCAATGGGCTTGCCTGCCCAGCACTTATCGGAACAAGGTTCGTACATTTGTTTTAACGTGTTTTTTTCTCCAATCTAGTTGCCAGAATAGTTTATCAATGCCGCGCGCATACATCGTCGCGCGTAATATTTCTTCGTTACACGTTCTTTTGGAATGTTTGCGATTCACATGAAACATTTTTTTTCTTTTTTTTATTTGGTGAACTTTTTACAATCACTTCTCTTTGAGAATTATAAATAAATTATTTTGGCGTGGTACCGTAACTTGGATTATAAGAGTTTATAGTACGTTTGATTCTAGTTGAATCTAATGCTTCAATCTAGAGGGTGTTGTCTTTTTAGCCTGCGAATCTGATCCTAGTACCTACTTAGGAAGGACACCTAGTATAAATTTATCGCACAGAATATGGTATAAATCCAAGACAATTAGGTCCGAACTTTATACTTTATGTAAAGTATAACATATTTTGCTTAATTAATTAATTTTCCTTTTTTGGGTTTTGGTGGTTGTTTAACTCTTATATTATATCAGTTACTGAATTTGGATATACATGAAACATTGCCGTGAAAGATCATCCATCGGCTGGAGCTATGCCCCGGATGTCGATAGGTTAACATCCAGTGAATTTTGCTAGAAGTGCGTACATTCCACACTTATTTGCTTGATTCAGATGGAACTCGCGTCAGTGTAAATTCGTAATCGCGTTCCGTCCAATGATGTTTGAACTTTGCGAAACGCGAAAAATCGTTTTGCTTGTTCCATTGATACAATACGACGGATAGATTAGTTTTACGAAGAATTACCGATGTTTATTTGCCGTGATATCATTTCCACGTGTCAAACACTTGATAATGTGATTCAAAGCGCTGCTTATTTTTTGCTTGTCAAACGTTATCTGCCTTGTCATTTTCTTTTCTAATTTCAATCTATTTCTGCTTTATGAGAACTGTTAGATTTCGAGGGATAAGAAACTTGCATATTTCTGTTTCATTAAATACTAGGTGATTGCATGATGATAATTTAGAGCAAAGTACCTACATGTTTTTCTGCATTTACGGAGACGAACGATTTTTTAAATAAACGAGGCTGAAATATTGAAAATTTTTCATGAATTTTAAGAAACGGAGAGAGTTGTATGCGTTTAAAAAACCGGACTGTTTCATCATGCCATTATATATATAATTAGATTATTATATATTTTATTTATTATATTATATTATATATTGTGATAATTATATATTATATATTACTAATATAAAAAATGCGATAAACAAAATAGAAAAGTTGTTGATTTTATTTATTTGAAGTTTTATTGTATTCTATTTACTGTGTGTATGTGTGCACTGCTTTTATAATATAAATTAATATCTTTATCTTTATTGATTTTTCCCTTATGCTTGGAAAAAAGATTAGATATAGTCTTTAAAAAATTTGCTATCTCTTTTCTTTTCAAATTGTTTCTTGGTTTCTTGTGAACATTTTTTTAATTACAGTAGTAAGGGGACTTTTTGTACATTTTCTACTTCCTCCTTTTTATAATAACTTTGGAACTGAAAACATATTATTCGTAACTAAATCTTTTGCTTCTAGAAAACATTCTTAATGAATGTAATCTTTCATTAAATTTTCAATTAAATAGGAAATGAAAAGCTGATCGATATTTGTAACTTCATATTATACCAATCATTTATTTTATTATTTAAATTTTGCATTTTATTAATCGAGCAAAGCACTTTTTAATTCCTCTCATTTTTACGTTCATCGACTTGGTGTTCTGCTCTTCTCTTAAAAAATTTCGCGAAAACTTCGGTTATAGCTTCTTTCACCATTGCTACTTTAAAAACATTATGTATATTCATTTGCGTACGCCATACAATTGTTTTTGGTTTACAAGAATCCCTATTATCGTTTATATTAGTCAAATTTAATATATTAATTTAGGAATTTATATTTAAAAACATGTAGTTGTTTGATGCAGAATATATCGTGAAATTATGCAGCATATTTTTTAATAATCTTATATTATAGTTTCTCTTTCCTTTTAAATAAGATAGAAATAATTATGAGTAAGATAAAATTGATAAATGATCCAAATTAATTAGGAATTTAGGAATTTATATTTAAAACGAACGAGTTTTAAGTGTTGCGTCGGGTGTTTAGATACTACGTGACTTTGTAACGATTTCCATAAACAACTGTATAACGTGTACTTTTTCTAGCGTTTATTCGCAAAACAGCTTTAATATAATAATAACTATATAATAATATAATATAATAATAATAATAACATAAACGTGTGATATTGACTGAAATACCGCAGATCAATAAAATATTAGTTATAATGAATCCAATCCAATTGGCTTTAAAATTCGAGTACTCGCAGAGTATAATTTCTTATATTTAATTACAATATTTGCATTGATTATTTTATGCTTTCTTAGGGCATACGAAAATTACGTTGATGAAATAAAATAAATAAATGAGATAAAAAAACATGAAATAATATAAAAGAAAATAAAGTAATATGTGATAATATAAATAAAATGAAACAAAATAATTAATTAACCAATTTACAAATAGAAACTTTCGAAAAAATTCAAAGAAATATGTTTACTGAATTTGATCCAGAATGTCGGTAGGCGCCACTTTCTAACCATCAGTATGTATCCAAGTTTTGCCTATGATTATATTTCGCAGGTTTGGAATTTGATAATTAATAGTGTAAATTTTGTCAGTTGCATATCAAATTTTTTTATCTATTTCGTTTTTGATTACACGATGTCAATGGATCAAACATCTAGATTCGCGTCTAATATATCGTTCGAAATCCAATGCTCAAAAGGATGTAAAGATCATTTGTCACAAAAAAAGTTTGATAAAGATTATTCGTCAGTGAGAAAAAATTATTAGCACCTGCGTTTTTCGGAAGCGGTCCTTGCAAAAAGATCTGCCAAGTGCCGCCGAAAGGCGACAATGCCTTACCATTTATATATGTGTTCTACCCTTATTTAATAGAGTGTTAAACGTCCCTCCTCTCGTACTACAAAAAAACATTCTTTTTCTTTTTACGTGGAGGAAATCTTCATAGACACCTTACCACCCTTGGCAAAGGTGGACAGAAGGTAGTGCCGGATTCTTACCGGCTAAAACCTCCACGGGCAAGACGACGGTAGACCAGTGTTGTGCGAGTTGATCGTCGGGCCCCTGTGTGCTTAACGCGAAGCACGTTTAACCAAGCGTACTCCCAGAAGGTACATCCACACCACACGCAAGGGAGGGGCTGGCCGCTTGCCTGTTGTGTTCTTCTAATAAATGTTGTATGTTTCTTTTAATAAGAAACTTTCTCAGTCCTCTGCTAATAATTTGTGCTCCTCTGTATGCCGAGCTGATTGGAAAGTATTTGATTCTTAATGTGGCAATTTCTCATAGCCCTCTCAAAATACAAGTAGTGAAGGTAAATAATTCCCTTAATTAAATCATTATTATTAAATCTATTGCGAAGCTCTTAATAATATATTTTTGCTGCTATTATATTTCTTGTAGTAAGAGAAGGCCGTTCTAAAAGAATTCCTGCCTCTTCTAATGCACTTATTTTCAAGATGCGTAGCCTTGCGTTTTCTATCGCATTGGCAGAGATTTTATAACGTATGGGATTAGCATAAGTTATAAATAGGTCTAATTAATAATTTGTAACAGAAGATTTTAAGCTCAAGATTTAAGTCCGATGCAAACGATCGAATTTGTAACAAATGACCGCAACGGCAATGGGTTGGAAGAACAAGAAAATACATATGTATGCATCCTTCTTTTTTGAAACAGGAGAACTTTATTTATTTCTTTGCTTTTCCAACGGCACTGGAACGATGTCTTAGGATAAAATATCGCTCATCTGCATCGACCCTTAAGATACACGAATAAAAGGGGTTTTTATTAGCCAACATAGCCCTACATTTCCGTTAGTGGAATTTTCACATGTTTATTACAAGTTGTATGTGTATTAATACAAGCGACGGGTGTGTATATCGCAACTGGTACCACTATGCGATTGGCCCAGACAGACGATATAAATGTCGTCCATTTGATTCGGGTTTAAGAGTGCTTCAAACGCAGCTGCGTACGACCGTCGTCGTTGACCGACGGTTCGGTTGAAGAAATCCGACGTTAAATTGGGTGAGTGGCGCCGGGCGACTTTTCCAACCATCTAGAACTTAGAATTTTTTTTTTTTTATTATTTAATTTGTACTTTACAATTTGTCCAGCTGAACATTTGGTAAATTTTTCTAATCTAATTGCTAAATAACATATGGATGGCTACTCCCAGCGGGATACCATCTTCGAGTTTGACTATTATGTTTCTTTAGTGAGGTCAGTGGGCTGTTTTCTTCTTAGTCTTCTTTCTATCAGAGTTTTGCTCGCTTCGGCAGCCACCTGGTTTGGACGTGTTGCCGTTCTTTCCTTGCATTTTTTTGCGCATCTACCGATTTTTTCTTCGACCATTGGTATTTTTAAGTCTGCGTATATTCTCGTTTCTGACATACCATGGGACGTTGACTATTGTTCTCAGTATCTTCGATTGTAGCGACTCTAGTTTATTTATGTGGCTCGTTGCTGCTGTCCCCAATAGCGGTATTCCGTACGTCCAAATTGGTTTTATTATCGTTTTATAGATTTTAAGCTTATTTCCTATGCCGAGTTTAGAGTTTCGACTAGTTAGCCAATACATCTTTTATTACGTCTTTTATTTCTCAAATCGCCACTCGTCGACGACAACGCGAAAGTAAAATCGTCCTTGTATTCGTATTCCGGTTTCCAAATTTTTGTTCTGGTTTGTTCTAGAGGTGTAGATATGTGTTTCAAATAACATTTTGCTATATGCTATTATACATAAAATAAAAAAATTCACTTATTTGGAAATTATTTGTGGAATCTTTCAAGACAAATCACTATTTCTTTGGAAGAATGTAGGACAAACGTAGAATTTGATACTTTGACAAATTGAAGTGGCAACAAATATTCGAAGTTTAAGAAGTGGTGCACTATTTTTATACAGGTTAGCTGTTATAAGTTACCGAATTTTCCCGCACAGATAACAGCTTTATTCTCTCTTCCTCTTCTCCGCCTCTTCGCAGTATGTACTCTAATTTATCTATCCTCTTTCTTTTTTGCTTCCTTTTTTTAAATCGTATTAAAAATAATTAGCATTGATCTGTCAAATTTAGGTTGAGTTAGTTTAGTTTATATAAAAATACAGCCACCTAGATGCCCGGATGAAGTGCAAGGAAACTAAATGTAATTAAAGCTTTTTACGAATATCTCGTAAATAGAAATCGAGTTGCGGTTACATTTATAGGTCAAAAATTGTTCAAAATTTTGGCGTTGACAATATATTTCGAGTTTATTGAAATCGGTAAGGTGTCCGCTGTTCTATTTATATAATTGTCCAGGCTATCTCGACCATAGCCTCGTACTTATGTATTGGGTTGGCTATTAAGTGATTGCGGATTTTGTCATTAGGTAGTAATGACCTTAAACATCGCTTAGTTACCGATCCAATACGTCCCGAAGTGGACCAATCGCATATTACTGTTAGGTTGTCCGAGAAGTTTCTTTCGTTTTACAAGGAAATAATGGACGCACAATGTTTTTTGTTTTATATTAGTTTATTGAATTATGCACGAACATAATAATAGAAATATAACGAAATGGATCATACCTAATTCAATAAAATAATATAAAACAGAAATTGTTGTTTACCTTACGAAACGAAAGAAACTTTTTCGACGACCTAATACCGTTGTACTGATGTGACTTTCATGATACTATCGATTGTTATATTAAGTTTCATCTTTGCGAAAATAAGTGCAACCTGATGTTATTTTTTCGAATTTTTGAAAGGCTTATTATGACCTTGTCCATCAAAAAACCGTAGCCATACTTTTTATTCCTTCTTAAGGACTGATAATTCTCCCTAAATAACTTTAAAATTTGCGTGTGAAAATAAATGAATAAAAATCAAATGACCAATGTCACTGACTCTCTAATTATAGGTAGTTTCATAAAAGGTGGACGAAAGCACAACTCGCTCAACCTTCTTTTCTTACAGTAGTAAATGAGAAAGTCTGAAACTAGCGGTTGATGCGTTAACCGAGTGTTCTTTCGTGAATCGACCGACTACGTTCTCACAATCGTTTAATTACGAGAGACTTCTCCTGTCTGTACTCCATGTCACATCGCGTTCAGCTTTACGCTCGAGGAGAAAGCATTTGTTGCTTGGATGTTGCAAGCCACACTTATTTCTTCCCTGTAATTCCTTCGTAATTACATAACGAAATTGCATAAGTGAAACGTTTGTGGTATTTTCATAATGTTGTGCTTTTCGATGCGACTAAGGCAATTTGTTTCTTTTAAACTTCTTCCTTTCTTTTATAACAGGCAGTATATGTTTTTTAAGAAATGAACTAAACCTAACTCAAAGATATATATATGTCGGAGATGAAAGGACATCGGGGCCTCGCTTTTGGAATTTTTGGGAAGATCCCCAATACCTTAGTCTAAACTTTGTATCATAGCTGTGCTTAAATAATAAAACTTAGAAGTAACTAGAAGTTTATGATTTAATCGGATTATGTTTGCTCGAGATTTGTAACAGTGGGTTTGGCTCGAGGTGACACAACTGGTCGCTAAACGTAGCCACGGTCACGGGAGGGCGTTTTTACCTAACAAAGGTATGCAGTAGTTGTATAGCTCTCCCTAAAAATATAGTTGACCCGAGGGGTACAGAGAGGTACAGAGAAGAGTATATAAGTGCAGTTCCACTTGGACTGAGTTAGTTAGTTGAGTTCTGCTTGTACTGTGGACGAGTTAGTTGAGTTACGCTTGAATTGTGGACAAGTAAGTTGTGTTCGACTTGGACTTTGGAAGAAAGCGCATTCTGTTATCCCGTTGACCGCGGATTCGTTGTTGGACCTAGGATCATTGTCATTAGCTTCTCGAGCGTCTGATTACCGCGGTTACTTGTCAAATTCTGTAATAGTCGTATTTGCACTATTCAATGTCTTCTCTATTGCATAACGACAAGGTGTAGTCCGAACGAAGATTCGTTTCACGCCCCTAACTCTAACCATATTGCGAACCCGACATATATATTAGAGAATTTATCATTTTGAATGATAGAACGACACTAGTCTTGTTAAAAGGGCTGTGCAAACCCTAAACTAAATATATATATATAGGTTATTGGGCACTAGATATCATAACGCTGATTAAATTGTTTTAAATCATGGCTTCGTTCAGCAGCAAATTTAGAAGCAAAGCAGCTTGCAAAGTAGCATTGGGCGATCTAATTACAATGGTCTAAGAGAGCAATTCGATCGTCTTGTAAAGAACAAGCTGAACAGCCCGTACAGAAACGTGTTCTACGTATTTTAACGTGTAGAGAGAGTCACGTTTTATAATTCACGCGCGTAATCAAAGCTTGAGATCATTTCATGTTACATCGTCAGCAGATACATTGTAGAGCACGTGTTTCTACTATTGGAAAACACGCTTTTTTGCAGACTTGCCATTTTTTGTTGGAATAAAAGATGATAACATTTTGGTATAAGTACATGTTAAAAACACGATATAATTTTTCTCTGGGTCTCTTATTACACATTTTTCTTCCTTATCGCACTGTTATTACATTGACACGCCAAATAATATGTCATTGGTCATCGCATTCGTATAACTTGCACGTAACTGAAGAATACATACAAAGGTTTAGTTAATTTTTGATTTTTAAATTATGTAGTATTATGTAGTATTATGTATTCGAAAAAATTAAAGCCATAAATCTATGGAAGTGTACAAGCAATCAAGGATATATTTAATATTATAATAATTGACATTTTTGAAGTGTTCAATAGGTGCAAAAATGCGCATATGATCTCATAATCAAATACGATTTATCATTAGGATTTACCATTTTTAGAAAACAAAATTCATGTATTGCAAAAAGATGACATAAATGATAATCGATTCCAATGTAAATTAAAAAACAGTGTTTGCAACATCTTTAATATGCATAAATACATATACTATGTATAACTAATTAGACTTAAATCAATTTAATGAAAATAAATATATGTAATTGTGCTCCTGACCTAATAAATGTATTTCGTAATTTTACAAAAAATATATTGCAAAAACAAATAAAAAGTTTGAGATAACGATGAATTTGACGAATGTAATAGGATTAGTAAAAAATAAAGTTTATAAATGTTTAGAGTTTTATACAGATTTTGTAGAAATAATATATAAGTAAATTACTCATTGTTTATTTCTATTTTTTTGCGTTATGTTATGTAAAATTGAAAAGTTTGCGATAATAGTGACACAATTGTTATTAAATAACAGGCAACAGTTTTAAAAAATAATATCTTTTGAATAAGACCTCGGATCAACGAAACTGAGTTACACAACTTTTTCAGGTTGAAATACTTCTTGTGGTAAAGGCTATACCAAATTACATACTCTTTCGTGATCCTTATCACGTACGATATCAACCGTAAGATAATTTATATAATAATAATTTAATGTAAATTAAATTATTTTAATATCATACTTTAGATCTTAAGAAAATATCCATTAACGTAACACTGATATTGTACGTATTAAAAATATTAAATCCACGATGAACGTTCCTTCCAAATTTAAATGAATTAAAAATTTTATGTGCTTGACTAGATTGACCGCGTAGTATGGAAGTATGTGTGTGCGTAGCGCCTCGAAAACAAAGGAATATAAATTGTTCAATCAACAGTTTGATATGGAAGGAGGTGAGACGCGTATCGATGTGTATCGATGAGGTGTATCGATGAATATCTTTGAGATCGTTTATCAAATAAATATATAACTATTCTAATATAAATTCTAAGTGTAAATTTATTGTTCCTATACCATTATTTCGGCAATTAAGATCCAAAATTTTCAACAATAAAAGGGCTAAAGAAATTATAGTAGACTGTCGTAAAGAGCAATGGGAAACTTACAACAATATTGATATTGAGGCAGGACCCCAGACGTAACAACATAGAACAATTATTTAACAACGCGAAGAAGCAATATGAGATAATTGATAATCGTAAAAATAAGTGAATCGAGTGAAATTGATGATTGTACACCGTAACTTATCTCTTGTAGGTAACATTTCAACATTATGTGTATCGCGTAATAAAAGACTCATCGTGGCGCCACGGCGAAAGCTTGGAAAATTGGCGTGGCATTCAACGTGTTAAGAAAGGTGTACGTGACCATCTTGAGTCGACAGTTGTAAAACACGTATGCGTTGTAGTAATACCAAAAACTCTGGTATAAAAAGGAAGTGTTGGTGAAGAGAAGGGTCAATGTTCAGTAGTAGTCAATACTCGTAGTTAGAGTTATGACTGAGTTGTGACTAGTGGCAGTTGCGAGTAAGCTGCGAGTAGTTGCGGGTCAATCGTTGCTCATAAGTTATGGGCTGTTAGTTGTAAGTCGTAAGTTGAGTTGTGAACTATCAATTTAGTTGTCCTTAGTTGTATCGCATTACTTACTACATTAAGTTCTATTTAAATAGTTATAGTTCTCTATTTCAATCGTAATAAAGAAATCTATATAATAAACAAAAACCACTATAATTCTGATTTCTATAGTAATAATTGAATTATTATCTATTTTGATCGAAAATGGCTTGCCTTTTATACATAAAGTAAAATTTACTTATAGTATTTAACACGTTGACCGCCACAACAGCCGTATTCGGGTGTCAGCAAAGTTTCTGGTCAAGCCACGTAACCCATATTAGGGTGTCGCTTATTTGACTACTTGCGGAAAGATAATAATAAATTGTTAATTAATAATTAATCGTAATAATAGTTGAATCGTTATAAAATAAAAATACGGAAATGGTTTATTAAAAAAATTATTTAGAATGTAAAACTTTAAAGCATCGTATACATAGCTGAGGTTGGTCGGGACAATTTGGACAATAAGTTGTTGTTTTCTTCAAATTCTTTCGTGCCTTTGCTCGATCCATTCGACGTCTTTTATTCGCATAACATAATTTGCATGCGCGTCTAATGCTTCTTCCGGAATTATTTTTCCGAGCGGCGATATTATGCCGACTCCGTCGAAGACAAGAATTTTTTCTATTTTCAGACAACCACGATAATTTTGCAACTAATAATTGTCTAAATATTCTAATATTTATATTTGTTCTTGTTGCAATTTTGTAAACCGTCAAAACGTTTACAACAGAAATTCGCAGAAAGAATCGAATGCCAAGTTTTCCGTACCATTTGATTCCTTTTCTAATTGTGGTGGCATAAGAAATCATTTGGTCGGAATAATCTATACCACACTTTCCTTCGTTATATTCGACAACAGCTAGTGGTTTTAACGTTGCGAACAAACGAAACGAAAGATGATTCTTGAGACCACCGCTTGAGCGATTCGCAGTACTAAAATATCGATGGCAGCACCTAGCACAGAACGCTTGGTACTGCTGTACGCGTGGCCTGACGGAGATTTCTTTGAAAACACGCGTGCCAGTCAACGTGTTAAAGAAGCAAGAGTAACGTTAACATTAAAATTAGGACATTTGAAGCAACAGGAAATTTGTTTAAATTTTCAATCTGTAGATCAAACATATTTGTTTACAGTCTTTATTCGTAGCTATTTTGTTGATATGAGACCGTTTCACGAAAACTATTCGTGCAACTTTCTAAAGATCCAATGGGACGAAGAATAAACACGTGACATAATATACAGTGTTTTGAACTTTTAAGGTTACGTAAAAATGATCGTAAAAATAAACTGTACGAAGTTAGCATCTAATTTTTTAAATCTCGTATCGTTCCAAACGAATAACGATTTATCTCAGAAGATTTCAGAAATAATTCCAAAAAAGTGAATGTCTTCGTAGTGAATATTTTGATTTTATATAGAATAGTATTACGGTAAAAGGTTCTTCTTTGGAACACATACACTACATCCCAGAACAGCCCAGAACAAAAATTTGAAAATTGGAACACGGGCCGACAAACGACATCGATGCAAGAGCAAAATCAGTCTTATATGCGCGTTCCACTTTTCATAGTTTCGTTCTGGGTTGTTCCGGTGTTGTAGGTAAAGAAAAAGTAAGAAAAGAAGATTCTTTTATTATACGGCATTATTATCAAAATGAAGAGAAATGTCCTTAATTTAAGGAATTTGTAATCTAATTGAATAAATTAGCTAAAAGGATTCTTGTTGTATATTTTTAATTATCGTACAATGAACGAACCTATTATTTAACACTAGCACTACCACGCCAGTGAAATTGACTGGTTTTACAATTTTATTTTAAAATTCCTACTACATGTTATATTTTTTTCTGCAATGATGTAATGACTTTCGCAACGATAACTGAAAGAATAATATAATGAATTTTATTTCGTTTTTTATGTAATCAAACTGAAAATAATTTTCTATCAAGGTTATTTATACCAATACCAGTCAAAATGATTGGTACTTGTCAGAGTGTAAAAGAGTGCTGCAATCTGTTTATCGAAGCCCAATTAAGCAGTTTCCTCGTTTTCTACAACTTGCCACGCGTTTTTCAAATTTTTACCGCGCATCGTTCGATATGATGATATCAGTTCGATTCGATCAGACCAGATTCGATATGACGACAGCAGTGAAAAGGACTGGTTCTACAATTTTATAAATGTGTCGACTCTCGTCGACTAGAGACATAGGACATAGAGACTATGGTCCCAGATGGATCAATAATACCAAAAATCTACTACATAACATGGAATTGCTTCTGCAAGAAAGTAATAAATCGATAAGTATAAAAATATTCTATTATTACGTATTTTTTAAAGACCAACTATCGGTAGTTCCAGTGTTTATCAGCGAACGAACGTATCTTTAACGAATGTTTTCACAAACAACGCCAAATATAAAGATTTCATATTTCTAAATAAATTTCTAATATTTATTTATTCCTATGAATTATCCAATTCTCAGTATTGCTATCGTTAAACTAATTCTACTTCGATGCTATCAAGTATACTTCGCTTTACATTAATTAAATGTTCCGAAATAGTTATACAATTATAGTAACAAAAACTTATATGCATTATTTTACGTATCAGGTATTTTGGGAAGGCAGATCTTTAGATAAGATAAATTCAGTATTATGTAGTTAGTACGCCATTTTTTAATTCTCGAAATTTTTGTTGTTGTTCCAAGTTGTTCTACATTTGTCCTAGATTGTTCCAAACAAATAATGATTTATCACGAAAGAAGAGATTTTGTATTAGGCCCATTTTTTTTTAAAATCGAGCGTTTAAAGGTTATTTTAGATTGTTTTAGTCGTTGGAAACATTGTTCCCAGTTATAATTCCAATATTACGTTTAGTTTTGGAATTAATCGATGAAATTTGTCGAGTGCATGCAATTGAACGCACGCATATCTAGATACGTTGCCAGTTTCAAACAACCGTAAGTTTTTGCTTCATCAGCTCAATTTTCAGTCGTATTACCGTCCAAATTTACAAAGCTACATTGTATCATTTGCTGATATATATTCTTGTTATACTATTTAGAGAAATTGTTCGAGCCTTGAATAATAATACATTATCGAAATGAATAATACGAA